GGTCTCTCTCTTTCTCTTTGCATACTAAAGCCAAAGGAGACTAACTATACACACAATATTATAACGTCTCAGGCTACTCTGCAATGAAGAACTTGGTGCTTGGACTTTGCATTGTATGTAAATTAATCTATTCATCGAAAATATAGCAACAGACCCCTGGACACTCGTGCATTATTGTTTCACTATCTAAGAAATGGCTTGCTATATTACCGTCAGATTTTATCCCCGTCCCCCCGCCGTCAATGTGCAGACGAGCAGAGGACATAGAGCAAGCCTCAATCCGAATCGGGCAGTCGACGAACGTCAATAAACCAACAGTAAACCGACGCGTCGTTAGTCGCTTAGCTACCTTACATAATTCCGGTGAAACCTCGGACGACGAGTTGGGCCAGCCGTCTCATAGCGTCCTCATCCTCACCGTTCGGCTTAATCAGGAAACACAGCTATAAATAAATTACATTATATAAGCCATATTAGATAACATCTTCACACACGCCCTAGCAGAGAGGATCGAGGACGCGAGACGGATGGTTCTAGGAGCCTGCGTCCATGTAGTCATTTATGACGATCCGTTTGCACCTAAAATGGAAATGCAAACAAATATACCACAACACACATCGAACTGCAAGTGCGCAAATAGATCATACCGCGACGCGTTATACGCATATATACCACTATGATATGTAGCTATGAATGATACCTCTCGACGTACTCATCAGGCTGCAACACTGGGCTCGACATCACCTCCTCCAACCTTCTCTTTCTGGTCTTTGGCTGATCCATACCACATCACCACCTTGGCAACGGCATCCTCGACGAACTCGTCTGCTTTTATCATCACTCGGGTATCCTTCACCCACTGGACGTTTGCTTCTTGACAATGGCTGCACATCCCTGGCACTTGCACCCTGTCCAACATCTCCAAGATTTCTCGGCCGCTCTTCCCTGAATCAGGATGAAGAAGGTGCTTGGCAACGCCGTGCCACCAATGCGACACCCATGCCTGCTCGCACCTCCCTGCCCTAGTGCATATAAAGCTCGAAAATGGCTCTGACGGATAGAAGGCGAGGATGGCATGGTGGTCCTTGATACGGTTATGTGTATGGCTGAGCAGGTAGAACGCTTCGGGCCCCATCAGGTGAGCGATCTCTTCGTCTATCTCGCTGAATGGCATTGCTAGGAGCTTCCGGAATGCTGGCTCTACCCACTCCGCGACGTGGTAGGTCCGACCCAGGTAGAACTGCATAGCTGGCGTGAACTGAGGATGCTTCGGCAGCACGTCGATGGCGTACAGCCTCCCATCCTCGATGCCCCACATGGTGGACAGCTTGAGTATTGCAGTGAGGTCCTGCATTGTTGGCATGCCCATTGTACGGCTGTTTATCAAGGCGGTAAGTCTAGCCCCTTAGCTGTAGTGTCCTCTGGACTTACGCCTTGAAAAGATACTCCATCAATGCATCAAACTCCCTAGCCTCGATGGAAGGGTGGAGGACCATAGGCGTATCATCAGATTTCCCTTCAGCTTCTGTTGAGCCAGGTATGGGCACCTGGAGCATGTCTCGGAATGCTTCTGAGCGGTCAGCCAGCATGCCCAGGTATATATTATACAAGGTATTCCCTAGCTAGTACTGCAGTCAGTGTCTCTCAGTCCTTGTAAATGCTGGTTTACCAATGCATACCTGTATCTTGAATGTTCCGTCTTTGTAATAGAATCTCTCGTGGTGGGTTTTCTCCATGATTGAAGCGACAGGATGGTGGCGCAGCTGCCTAATTAAGTCATTCTATGCCACAGCATTCTAAGTGCACCTCTGATTATGCCCATGGACAACGCTCGGCCTGCTGTATTCCCTGCTCTTCCTGCTCCCACCGATGACACTGTATGGTCAGCCAATGTCACTCGGGCCCATGGCATTCTCAAAGATTATTATACACGTGCATCAGATCTACTCCGACAAGAAGATGGCGATCCCTTGCGACTTCGCATCCATTCTGAGCGTATCTTTAATAGAGGTCTACCCATACTTGAAGCAATGGGAGCAGAGGTTCCCAATGACGATTGGCTAGCGCAGGGTGCTCATGCCCTTGCCAAAGTGACTGTAGAGTTAGAGAGGGCAGCGTTAGCTGCAGATGGAGTGTACGTCTAAGCTATCTTATCGATGCATTGCTGTTTAACCCTACTCATAGTGAGCAGTCCGAAATACGTACTGTTGAACCTGTCACTGTAGTCCGATCAGGGCGGCGAGGGCGTCCTCGCAAGGTCATCAATCCCGAATGGCTGCATGATGCGATGTCAACCCGCCGGAAAATCACCATCAAGACACTTTCTGAGCTCCTAGGGATGCATCGCAATGCTGTCAGCAAACAGCTCAAGCTCCACGGAGTCTACCAACGGTTCTCCGAAATCTCCGATGCCGACATCGACCAGCTAATCCGACTGTACAAGAAGCACCGTCCGACCTCGGGACTTCGGTATATTATCGGATTCCTCAAGAGCCATGGCCTACGAGTGCAAAAGCGCCGAGTTCGGATGTCCCTACGCCGGATTGATGGACTAGGCCAGGTACTACGGAACCATGAGGCCATATCCCGCCGGGAGTATCGGGTTCCTCGACCCAACTATCTATGGCACATTGATGGGTACCACAAGCTCATCCGGTGGGGTATTGTGGTTCACGGGATGGTGGACGGTTTCTGTAGGAGTGTGAGTATCTTCATTGATGTGACCTGGTGTCGAGATTGACAGCTTTTCACAAAGGTTGTCGGCATCCAAGTCAATACCAATAATCGTGCATCAACGGTACTTGATTTATTCCTAGATGCTGTAGCCGAATACGGAGTGCCATCGCGGGTCCGAGGAGACCGTGGTGGTGAGAATATTGAAGTCTGTGTTTGGATGATAATGCGCCGGGGCCCAAATCGAGCCTCCTTCATGTGGGGCAGGTGAGAGGCTTATTTGTTCAGAGTTTTCCTCAAATTAATCTGCGCAAAGCTCAACCCGTAATACAAGAATCGAACGCCTCTGGGTTGAAGTCGGCACACAATTTGGGCGCCGTTGGAAGGCCTTCTTTATGAGGCTCGAGGATATGCACCGATTGGATGCCAAAGATCCACATCACCTCTGGCTCCTTCACACATTGTTTCTTAATGACATCCGTAAAGACTGTGAAAACTTTAAGAACGACTGGAACCATCATCCCATTTCAGGGGAAGCTGATCAGACGCCATCGGTACGTCCGTCCCATTGCGGAACTCGAAAACTGGCAAATTTCGAACTATAATCATAGGATCTACGTTTCCTGGGCCAAGCTCGACACGGGGTGTATGTTGATGACTACAACGGAGTTCATCCCGACGTCCTCAATCAATACTACGGGGCCGACTCTACACAAGAAACACAGCACCCTGGCAGAACGGGTGCTGGACATTCTGACGAAGGAGAGGACTTGGAGGACCAAATCGCACAAGACCAGGATCGGCACATTAGGCACGAACCAGTGGCAGTTCCAGAAGCCCCAAGCCCCTTTTCCGAGGAAGTGACAGACCTCTTCCTGAAAGCCCTGCAGGACGTTCAGGATGCAGGTATTATTCCAGATGGCTTTGGTGTGCGAGAAGAGGAGTGGGATGAGCAGGGCTATCCGTCGGTTCAAGCCATCCGGAGCGGACGGAAGTACATAGATATCCCGCTGCCAATGGCTGTTTGGTGGCCGAGAGCAGTGGCCTGGTCACAGGCGCTCGCAGTATTCTCGCACTTCCGAGATCGAGATGCAGACCAGGATAGGTCTTCAGACTCAGGTACACAGACAGAATAGCATGGCTTTAACATGACTGTAGGATACAAAACTGCAAGTGCCTTATTGTACACCGCAGCACGTCCACGTAGACCCTGCGGGCGCCTATCTCGAGGGAAGCGAGAGAGTCGACAACGGCATAGCTTGCTGGCGCTTGGCAGAGTTGGTTTTCTGCGGGCGTGTGGAAGGTTAGCTACGCACCTAGACAAAGTGAAGACGAAGGCGTACCAAGTCCAGAAAGCAGCAACTGGACCGCCCGCATAAAAATCCTTCGCCCAGCGCAAGACGGCGGACGGCACGCACGAGTCAAGGGGAGCTGGCGTCGAGGCAGCTGGAAGGGCCGCAAAGGATCGTGGTACGTCGCTGCAGAAACGCCGGACGTTAGCCAAGCAGACAGCACAACGCGAATGCAAGCGTGTGCCGATGCACGTAGGCGAGTTTTGCTTCCAAGCTGCTCACCTGCTTTGCTACCCCACCCCTCGTCCCTCAACCGCCGAAAGATGATGTCCGCCCGAAACGCCAGGTGCCGCCCGCGACGTGATAGCGGCCGCCGTATGAAGATGTTCCCCGCGCCCGACATCGTGCTCATGGCCGAGTGTGCGTATGCGGGATAGGCTACCGGATAAGACACGTTAGCAAGAAGTCGGCAACGCAGGCGGAAGGGAGACGTACCTTTCACAGAGACAGGAACCCTCTGGCCGCCGCCGACCGCCTTGAGCGTGCAAGCTAGGATGCGCCGTGGTCACCGGATGACGCGTTCAGTGAGAATACGAGCTACGGCGTGCAGACGGGATAGGGACATACCGTGAACGAGCCATGTGTCAGGTGCTCTCGACGTCCGGTATCTGCGCCCTCAGCGGTGCCGCATTCAGCGTTCGGCGCCTCACAGTCACACAGGCGGGTAACGGGCCCCATCTTCCGCAGCGCCCATGCAGAGAGCCCTGCGAACGCGCGCATGTCCTTCAGAAGCAGCCCAAGCGGAGATGTGACAAAGTCGCACACGTCGAGCAGCTGCTGTGGCGTTTCCGAGAGCTCTACAAGCGTACTGAGACACATCCAGGCTCCGAGCAATCGTGCTCCGCTCTGAATGCGAGACGCGGTCAGGTGACTCTCACATGACGATAAACAGCAGCGTGGGGATAGGACCCCTGAAAGTACCAATGGAGGTTAGATACCAGAGAACCTGATTGCCTTCATTTTTACCGGGACCGGATTTCGCCTAATTTGGCTATTTTTACCGGGACGCGATACCAACCTAGCCGTGTGGCTCGAGATTTACCGGGACCCAGATATCCAACCTCCGAATTTTGATCCGGTTACAAGGGTTTTTCTTAGCCAAATTTGATCAAAATAAGGCATTATTCGCTACAATATGCCATATATCGGCCCAATGTTGCCAAAACAGTGCAATCTTAGCTCAAATATTTATTGGGGCAAATTGTGGCTGCACAAGTGAGTGATTGAGTGCCGGGAGAAGCCGTGTATATACCACAATGGTATCTGACCTTGGATATCGAGCCTCAATTCTACCGGGACTGAAGTATCCGGCCTCTTGGGCGCTTCACCACATTTTACCGCAACTGTATCTAACATACGGCCTCCAGACCTCACTTTTTTACGGAATTGGTATCTAACCTCCATCGGTATTTTCAGGGGTCCTGTGGGGATGCGCCCTGCCGCATACCTGGCATAAAGCCACGACACCCACCATCTGCTCTCAGCTCACGCCTTCACGCCATGTCCGGTGAGTACTATCTCTCGGGTCTGCGCTGCGTACAGCAGTTGCGAGAGCCGTACATCATCGGGTTACCTGAGTGAGCTGCCGCCTAACCCCTGAGCCAGCGGCCCTTGTGCGTTGCTACACAAAGCGACCTATGGGCCTCCGGTGAAGGCGCGTGACGTGGACCGCTTATGGGCTCCCAATGTCGCGTATGGCCAGCAACCTGTTGTTGTTGGCAGGCCCCGCATCAGCGCCCTGCGTACATGCTGACTCTTTTGCCTCCTTAGGACCATCCCAGGGGGAGTCGCTCCGCCAAACGCGCTCAGGACGCGTCTTCTCCCCCTGGGGGGGCGTAGCTATGCCTCCGCCACCCGAGGCGCCGTCGGCTCTAGCCGCCAGGCCGATTGTGGTGCCATTCGATGTAGAGGCTGCGCTGGGTGAGGCGGAGGGTCGCGCTTTCGCAAGAGACTGTGCGGACCCAGGGGAGCTCAGCGACGACGAGGATGAGTGGCCCATACAAGATGAGTCCCCTCTCAGCCCGTTCGATGGCTTGGAGTACATGCGGGCTCCTACTGCTGCCCCGCCCGCACCCCCCTCAGCCCGTGTCCTCAGCCCCTCGTCATCTCCAGCCCTGAGCATGTCTGCCCCGTCTCCGGCCCCGAACATGTCCTCCCCATTTCAACCCCCGAGCCCAAGTTTCTCAGGTGCCGCTTCAACAACGACCCCATCGCTGCCTGTCGGTAAAGCCCAGACAAGAAAGGAAAGGCGGAATGAAAAGCGCCGCGAGCATGACCGACGGCACAAGGCGGACCGATCGCGGCGACAGCGGGAACGGGCTGCCCAGCATGCAGCTGAACGTCCGACCTTCCGTCCATGCGCTAAGGCACACCTCAAAGCGAAGGAGACGGTGATATGTTCTGTCAATGTCGATGGCCTTCGGCGTGGCACCTCGGGCTACCAGGCTGGCAACGTCCCCATCGGTGAGGCAGAGAAGCGCGAGTACACCCTGGATGACCCAGAGATACAGGCCATGAGGTACATACCTTGGGATGGGCGGTGAGTAACGTGTCCCGTATATTGGCTGGCAAAAGTTAACTTTGCCCGTAGTACAATGACGCCGATAGCCACCGGTGACGGCGATGATGCTATCGTCATCGCTGTGCTGGTTGGGCAGCCGAAGGAGGGATGGGCGGAAGTCGTTGAGGGTGCATCTTCTGCCGCTGACAGAGCGCGTGCTCAATATCGATCCCCGGCAGGCAAGCATGACCATCGACGTGGCAAGTTCCCATGCGCCATGACAGGGGTATCGCATGGTGGCGGGCGGAAGGTAAGCTTTGTATTTTCATGAGGTTACTATTCACGCTAATATCCACACGCTACCCTATGCAGTCGCCTGGCAATCTCTCCATCCCAGGAGGCAAGAAAAATGCCAAGACGCTCTCGATGCTCATGAAGGACCCATCTGTCAGAAGGCTTGCTCGTTTTACCACAGGTAAGAGATGAGCCTGCTGATCTACATACTGCTGCTTATGCCGACCAGGAGCCTTTGCCCTTGCATCCCCCCTCATCCATCGCTACTACGACGATACTCTCCAGGGGCTCTGCCAGAGTAACTCCAACCTGCGGCCACCTTTTGAATTCAGCCCATGGTCTTGCTGCTGCTTTAACCTGGGCAAGCAAGTGCGTGCGTACAGGCATCGAGATCACTTAAACTGCCCTTTTGGCTGGTGTGCCATCTCTGCGCTGGGCTGGTTTGACCCGAAGAAAGGTGGGCATCTCGTGTTGTGGGACCTGAAGTTAGTTATAGAGTTCCCACCTGGGTCGACGATTTTCATCCCCTCTGCCCTTCTCCTTCACTCCAACCTCCCTGTACGCCCAGGTGAAAAGCGTTTCTCCTTTGTGCAGTGGTCTGCTGGGGCGCTCTTTCGCTGGGTCGAATTTGGTTTCCGTGGTGTCAAGGAGTACATGGAAGGGCGTCCAGCTAAGGAGGCTAGTGTTCTGAATGAGGAACGATGGAGGACAGGCATGATGATGATGCCTAGGCTTTCTCATTTCCGTCCAGAGTAGGAGTAGAATTTTGTGTACATCAGTGAATGCATCCTCAATATGCAGGAGTTGTTGCCGGCCTGTAAATATGAGGGGAGCATAAACAGAAGGTGTTATGTCGACGGATGTGCCAGGCGCCACAATCGCGTTTGGAGGTCATGTGACACTCCCCCGGCTTCAGCTTAGACTTTGCAGTCAGGGATCGTTCTGTGTTCAAACAATACATCAAGTCCTGCTTGCCATTCTACTCTGCCACTGCTCCTGTTCTATTGATCAGCCGTCATATATAGGGATGTCTTTGTTCCCACTGGCCCCTCGATCGTCCTTAGTAGCTGTTCAACACGTCCTTGGGCTTTGACTCTGAGACGCACCAGGACTCGCCCTTTATACATCAAGATCTGCGTCCAAGTCAATCCATTGCTGGAGCTTGAGTGATCTATGAGGTGTGTTTATGGTTTCAATTGGCACGGACGTCCTGTTTCACAACCCACCCATTGCAACAGCATCAGGTGCTGTGGATCCGACTGAAGGCGGCTCATGCCACGGCACGCCGCCGCTGTCGCAACCGATCACCCGGCAAGCCTCTGGCCCGCTGCCCGCCCACCTGTCTGCGAGATCCTGTACTCCTTCGCTATAGCCTGCTAGCCTTGAGATGGGTATTATATAGCTCTAAACTCCCTAGAGACCATTTGTCTGGGTGCTCCAGTGTGCTGTATACATGGTGCGCATGTTCAGCGTTTGCTGGGATATCTAGTGGTACAACTGAGGGACGCACGCTACAATAGACGGCCCGGCACGCCCTCATTTGACATATCTGACGGTCCCGATCAGAATCTTTGCGGACCCTCATATAGTCCACATAGAGATAACCCGCCCCCTCTCTCCTGCAGCGCTTGTTGGCTTCGTCTGGAAGGCCAGCGAGCGACTTTGCTGCCCCACTATGCCCTTCTGCAATGGCCTGACGTCTACAGGCGAGGCATGTCCTTGCCAGCGTTTTGTACCCCGGCAAAGGAAGAAGGGCAAGTCCGAGAAGTCGTCTACAAAATGCGAATGTCGGCATCGTGAAAACTTGCATGCTCTGGAGCCTGTTCGCCCCCCTCAGCTGGGCACCTCAGGGAAGACCACTGTAGCAGGAGTTGTTGACATGTATTCAGCTGATCTTGGACGACTCCTCCACCCAACAAAGGCTACAGAGGATGAGGCTAGGAAAGAGGCAAACACTGGGTTTCGCAAAGTTGTGAGGGATGATGAACGGCCTGTTAGTAAGGCGAGCATGGGACGGGGTGGAGATACTCGATTTAAGGTGATGTTATGCAAAGCTCCTCCGTTACCACTCTACTCATGCCCTGGTAGGCCTCCGAGTCGGGACCGAAGCCATCGAGAAAACTCTTATCAAAGCCGGTGCCCTTTGGCCGTGTAGTCCTGTTGCCGTATGGTGTCAAGGTATGTCATGCACCCATCAAGCATTATTTTTTGTGCGGCTGCTCACATACTTGTCAGTCCAATAACAAGCTGCGCTCTCAAAAGGCCCCTTGGGGTTCGGCGGACTATGAGAAACTGCAGAAGGCCGGCCTTGCTGCAAGCCGTGACGGCAACGATGTCCTCAGTTTTTGCAAAGAATGGAGCTCTCCCGCCATCGATGAGTGGCTGCGTCGTCTACTGCCCCACCCATTTGAGTACCTGGATGCTCGACATGGTCAGCCTGAAGAAGGTCAATACCATTGGAAGCTTTTGAGCAGGTCTCGTAAGGTGATGGACGTAGTAGAGAGGCCAGGAGATATCACTGGTCGTGATATGTTCATGGTGCGTGGAGGGCCAGGGAAGAATCGGGATGATTATGTCGTGCATTTCAGTGAGTATATGTTACTCCATCTCTCTTACCTACAACGTTTGGCAGGCTCTGTTCACAGGATTCCCGGATCGGTCTACTCGAATTGGCAAGCTGCAATGGGCCGAGTGAAGGAAGGCTTACCTGAGGCCATCAAAAGGGGCGAGGATCTTGGCGACCCGACTACTGATGAGGATGCGGACCTCAGTGACTCTGAGAATGAAGGCTTCAGCAACCTGCCTTCTCAGCGTCCCAAGCCTCGCCCTGCATACAAGGGAGTGATTCCGGCGGCAGCTAACTTCAAGGGCAAGGGCCGCGCAGAACCAGGTTCCAGTTCTGGAAGTGAGGCTTCCACTGATTTGGAGGGTGACGATGACAGCGAGGATGAAGATGCATGGAAGGCAGATGAAGGTGCGAGTGTCTCCAAACCAGGCTATAGCACCGGAGAAGAAGAAGACCTAGGCTGGCGAAAGTCGGAGAGGCTTCTAGGAAAGAGGAAAAGGTCAGACCAACAGAGTGGTTCCGATGACGGGCTAGAGTCCGACGTAGAGTTTGTTGAGGGACCAAGCACCAAGAAAGCCCGTGCGTCTGGATCCAACCATAGTGAGTCGTTTTCTTCCTTACATATGCCACGTCTGACATCAGTGATGCAGCGGCCGTGTCCCCAATCAATGTCGACAACGACGAGTGGCTGCCTCTGTTCCTGCAGCCAGATCCTCTTGCCCCATCCGAGCCATCTACAAGCAGCCATATTTCGGGGAACGTTGGGGTAGCAGGATTAGAATCGCCTGGTAAACCTCGTACTTGTCCTTGGCCATCTAAGTAAAATCAGGCAGTTATTTCTTTGGTCTATAGTATCGTACATGTATGGCGGTTCCTTTGCACTTTTAATTTCAGCAACATATACACGCAGGCGCGCACGTAATGATAACTCGCTCACATATGCAGTTGTTGCACGTACACACTGATCTTCTGGCCTGCTGCTGGGCCACGTAGAACTACACCACGACCGCACATTTAGCAAGAGCGCACACACACTGATTTCCTCAGCAAAGCAAGACGAACATACATAAATGCAGAAATATATGGTAAATATATATAAATATTTTTCAGGCAAACGGTAATAAGACTCAGCGGCAGTATGCCTTTGGAAGTAAAG